CTTTATTTCTGGAAAATGTAACACATTAGGAAACAATTTTTTCTTACAAGGTCTCATACTTTATGATGTAAGTTTATTCCTTAGTCATGTTTTTAGTTCACTGTAAGATATTGGTGGATATAGACCTAAGATTAATTTAGGTTTTACACACGAGCTATATATAATATGTGATTATTATATTTCTATGAAAACATTACCTAATAACTTGCAGACCATATATAGTGCTGTGAATTTTACAACTTTCAGAACGCTGACCGTGATTTGCCAGCAAATGATGCCTTATTTTTCTGCACTTTTGTTGGAAATAAAGATGAAAATAAATGTACTAAGTTGCCTAAGAGCATAATAAAAGGAAAAAAATCCCTGTGATCCCTCTGTAGCCACATATCATTTTTACTCCCTTTGCAGCATTGTAGATTAATTTCTACAAGAATAAAATGAAAGCCTGACCACAAAATAGTTTTCAGTAATATTAGATCTATTCATTGTTTTGAGAAGGTATAGACATGCACACCATGTCAGTATCCACTAAGGGTAATAATTTTCTTCTCCTGGGCTCATGCATTAACTAACTGGGAAATACCAGTATATGCTTGAGTTAATGTGTAACATACTTTGTTACATACATACAACATGCATACAACATACATACAACATACAAGGAGTAACATACTTTGGAGAGGGTATGGGCTGCATGTTACATGTTTTGAAGTGTCAGATTAGTCACATAAGACTTGGTATTGTGAGAACAGTTTGTATTTATTTTTATCTTCTTTGTATTTTGAATGGAATTGCAATATTTAGGGAATTTTTGATTATTACAGTTTGAAACCTTGTATAGATGCAACTTTTTTTAAACAAAAATACGTATCTCAGTAACTTGAATTATTCCTTCCATATTTCATGCTTAAATTTAAAGGGAAACCTCATTCATAGATACATTTCCCCCTCAATGGGATTGTAATAATTGGAATGTATTTTATTTATTGTATTTATATTCTGCTGCCATCCAAATAGTTGGCAGTCCAAAACGTGGACACTACCCCTATGGGAATAACCCTAGGGTGATGATGATCCTGATACAAATACACATTGCCACTTATATAAGTTTGTAGTTATACCAGTATCGTTCTGTCTTTTAACTTTTTCATTTGTGTGGTGTATAATCTGAGCACTATTGACTGAATGCTTATTAGGTTTGATAATATATTTTAATGGTTATACAATATAAAAGGAATGAAAAAGCAATACTGTTTATTTTATACAATACACATATTATGTACCAGTCTAATCCAGGCGGGACCAAAGCAGCAACGGGTCAGCCCGGGCTCGCCTTCCTCTCGGCCACCAGCAAGCCAGGCAAATGGGGTGGGGTGGGGAAACTGAATTGCGCCCTGCAAGGGCCCCACCTCCAGCACTCCTCTGCTACCCCCTTGCCTCTTAGCGCCCCCCTGGTACCCCCCTGCCTCTTAGCGCCTCCCTAAGTCATCCCACTGCCCCCCAGGGGGCGGTACCACCCACTTTAGGAATCACTGCTATAGGGTTTTGTTATTCATGTTTTCTTAGATATTGTATTACCATACGTTTTCATATTGTTCAGCATTCAGGATATTACATCTCTCATACAAGCATATATGGATAGACCTCATTTAGCAATGACAATTGGGTCATCAATCAAGATGGTTGTTACTAAGTGAAGTCATAACTGTGCTTACAGTTTGATTTCAGTTTACCTTTGTTTTATAGATCTGTGAAGGTCATAAATGCAAAGATGAATTGCTGAGTTATGAGTTATAATACCGGTGTATATTTTTTGAATATATTACAAACAAATTTGAACAGAAATGGCATCCAAATAACAAATAAAAATGCAGTGTGTACGAAGGAAACTCCTAATTGTTTTTCTGTAACTCAATACTTTGTTTATAAAATTAACAGATGCTGTTGAAATGTTATTAACCTAGAATTTATATATATATCCTCGACTTAAGTGATATATTTTTTAAAGATTCTGCTAAAGCGATGTAAGAAAAAGAACAACATGGTTTATTTAATTGCTTAGTATTTTTCAAAATAAGGGCAAATCCGGTGATTGAATGTAGTGGTGGATTCTGCTGCCTTCTGAAGATTTAATTTGTACAGGTAAGCAAAGGTAATAATAATGAGTTTGCTAGTAAATCCTTAAATTGTCTATGAAATAAACATTTTGTTTATTGTTAAGTAGAAATATACATGCATACTTAATACATTTTGGGAAAGAACTAAAGAAATATATACTGTGCTTCATTATTTTGCAAGTTTTTTGTCATCTCAAAATTATTAATCTTTTAAAAGGAATGTGAAATAAGATACCACATCAACTGTATATTAAAAAATAATTTTTAGTGGCAAAAATTATTTCAGTATTTGTTTAAGAAAGGTATAAATCACTGGAACTATATAAAAGAGATTCAAACTATAACATATCTATCATGCAGTGAAACAAGATATGATTTGTGTACTTTAGATAACAATTTTTTATCTGCCTCACTTATTTGTATATCCTTGAATGTAAGTGAACTTATTTGCTGTGCAGTCCCCCTTTGAATTTTTCTTCTTGTGTTTAGATCTGAGATTAATAAACCAGACAATTTAGTGAAGTCTGATAAATTTTTTACATAAATGATAGTTTCTGAAATTTTGAATCTTAATGCTATTTCTAACAGCATAAGTAGAATAAAATACAAATCTTAATGGTTGCCAGCTAACCATGCCTTCTCAACTGTAATTTGAAGATAATAAGCTTTACAATACGGGATTGATGTAGAATTACTGAGACAATGCCTGAAGCATTTAAATGCTTAGTAAATGATACTTTTACTTGCTATTGATATAATTTTTAACATTATTTTGAAGATTGCAAAATTTCATGTCAGTTTAAATTTTTTGCCATCGCATGATTTTATACGATGCCTGAATGGATTGCTAATTGTTCAGCTCAGAACATGAATTTTAATCAATTTTATATGCTGCATACCACTATCACCACCTTCTAGTAAAAATATCTCTGTAAACTTTGGAAAAGATGATATTTAGATTGATTTCTATATTGGAATCTTTACATGAGTTTAAATATTAGAATATTCGTATGAGTTTAAGCATTTGCTGGTTGGGCTTCGTTGGTGACTAGTATTTCTACATTTTGCTGGGTAATTTTGTCATAGAAATTCTATTTATTTAACAATATTTTTTATTGCATTTGTTAAAATAGAAAATCATAGATAAAATAAAATTCGAAGCACCTTCTCTTGTCGGTCATTTAATTTCTTTACTCATATTTCTAGTTCATATTTGTACTCTAATTTTCATATGTAGTTCTATTGTCCTGAGAAGTTAGTATGGTTTTCCTTTTTAACAGAAAAAAATACTTTTAAGTATTATTATTAATATATATTTGACTAAGTATTAATTGAAAGGGGTTAGAAAATCCTATAATATCGATATATTTGACAGCATGACAATTGTATTATGAATACTTGTTTTGCTAATTACTGATTATGATATTTTTATGAGCAGAGTCCAGCAAGACCCTGTGGGACTTTTAGTTATGTGAATCAGTCCTCTGTTATTTCTCAAACATGCGCTATTTAATTTTTTTTGTTTTTTAAAGAAATAGTTCATCTCTTGATATTTAATAATTCTTGTTATAGTGGAGTTTATGCAGTGTGTTTTAGTGCAACATTTGCCATGAATCTCATGAATACTTTTAAATTTAATTGTAAATAATGGTACTATTATTGACTGTCTTAATTATATGATAATTTTAATATTTTGGTAGTATATGAATTATAGATATATTTATTTTACATTAGGAAATTTGTAGAATATATTGACTCTTACTTTTTTGTAGTTACTCAATTGTAGAATATCTTGCCTCTTACTTTTGTATTGAATACATTGTATACATTAATATATACATTATATAGATGATTTTAGCTTATTCTGGGAAGAAAATAATGCCAAATAAGTAAATGCTTAAAGCTTTACAGGCTGTAGTTTTTAATTAATCCTGTTCTAATTTCTTCAGGTTATCAATCAGTGGAATTATCTGAAACTTCACATGTGTTCCATCACCAATAATACATATCCTGTCAGCATTTTTACTTAACAGAGAATGGCAATGTTGTTTTCTTTTCTTTGATAAAAATTAAAATTATGAATTTTGATAATACTATGCATCTTACTAAGTTTTTAACAATTAGAGTTAGATAAATACTTGCTAATGTTTATTTTTTATTTTAAGGGATACCTTAATAGTTGCGCACTTTTTATCTATTTACAGAATCTAATTGAGCCCAATTGGAAATACTTATTTCATGCCCATATGGTAATTTTAAAAACAAATCCAGTAATTCAATTGCCTACAATTACTCCACTCATCTACAAATAAATTATTTAAAAAGAAAAAAGCTTGACTTTCCAGTTTTGCTGAATTTTTACTGTCTCTGTATGCTGTCGTGTAGCATAGGCTACAGTTTGAAGACTATGTATCACCAGGCATTTGTTGCTATTAAAGCATAATTTAAAATTAATACATGTATTTTATATTACATAAAGAATAATTTACATTTTTAAATTCTAAGACAAGTGTGATTAATACCAGTATTATAATGCTACAGAATATTTCATAGCATATTTTCATAATTAAATCTCAGAAATGTATTAAATATGGCACAAATGCAACCAGTTGTAAATACTGCCATCTGTTTTGACTCTTCCTAGAGCCAGTTAGTATACTTGAGGCTGATCTCTCGGTGGTTATCTAGGTATTGTTTTGTGTCTTCTCTATTAAAGATCAGAATTTTGAAAAAGAATAAAGTATAAATTTCTATTAATGGACGTAATGGTATTTTTTTATTTCATGAAATTACAAGTGTTATTTCATAAAATGGTTGGCCTAAAAATGAGAATGTTAAAATAATAAGTGGTAGGTTGACGATGCAAATTATGTTTACTTTCAGAGAGAACAGGAAATGAGAATGGGTGATATGGGTCCTCGTGGAGCATTAAACATGGGAGGTAGGGATCTGAAGCAAAAGGCTTTTGTTCTTGAAAATTTCTTTGAGACTGTACATGTTACTTCTGTGGACCTTGCAGATAATCTTGGCCAAAATTTTAATTTGCTATAAACTGGACTCAATTTTTTTTCTTTCAAACATAATTTTTGATTTCACAAAATTAAAAGTAATAGGAAAAACTACCAGTATCAACCGAGAAGCATGAATTTGTATTTCTTGTAAATCTTTCTAAAGTTGTATCTTAGAAAATGTAAAATTAAAATACTTCGTAGTACAAGTAAAAGTTTGATTTAATTAATTTCTTGAGAATTTATTATTTACTTCTTGAGAATTTATAACAGGGTGTTGAATATGTTATTTTTAATTTGAGACTTGTGTTTTTGTTTATGGGAATGATGGGAGCAAACTATAATGAAGCATTTTAGCTTGTAAAATATCAGCTCTTTGTCTTTCAGAACTTTATTTTATTGCATTATAACCATGTATATTTGTGTAATAGTAGCCAAGCATCATGCAAAGTTACTACTTAGTCTTCAAAATCACACTAGTGAATATTTTTACAATATGCCAAAGTTGAGGTATTGATCTCTCTTAGTTTAAAGTTGTGAGTAAAACACTCATCTCATGCTAGCATTTCTTTAACAACAGCTAATTTGTATATCTAATGCTGATTGTTTTGGTATTTCTCATTGTGGCATTTTGGGCCATCTGGTATAATAATATTTATGTGTACCTGACTAAGATTAGTCTTAGTTTTATTTGGGTAGCTTCCTCAAGAAGTGTGATATACAGGCATCTCTAATAATATTTGGATTAAGTTTATTATCCAGGGCTATTTCATTTTGATTTCAGATTTTGAGCTTAAACTGTTTTTTGATGCCTTTATAGATAACTGATATGAGGAAAAGGAGAGGGAAATGTTTTCATAAATTTTAAAACCATGTACAATCTGGGTTTTCATTTTCTGGGGAGCTGTTGCTTTGGGTATAAACCTCTGTGGCAAATGTATTATCTAAAAGCAAGTTCCACTTTTAAGGTTCCATCTTTTTTAAATGAGTCTAAAGTTCAGAAAATACTTTCAGACGGACTTTGTCTCTTTAAATGGTTAATCCTCCCCAGTTTTGCCCAATCCTATGTGTTTTCATTTGGGTCTACTGTTACAAGAATAAAGAAAAATTTAACTGTTGAAAAAATATCTTAAAATATTAATTATATTTTAGCAGTATTTAAACCATGAGTAAAATAAAAGGGAGCTATGCAGATTGGCTCTTACGCTGCGGTGAACTTATCTGTATTAAGAATCACAGGAAGATGGTATTGAGAAAGCTCTCTTACTGTAGATATTGGGCATTACAAAACTTGCCACCATTATTGTCCACCTAGAATTAAAATGAAGACAATTAAAAACTACTGCTTCTGTATGTGTGCTGTTAGTGATTTATTTCATGAGAATTATTTTTCACTAAAGTCAGTACATATATAATATGATCACAATGTTGCTAGATATTTTTTCTTTGTCAATATACATTTTATAAAGAAGCCTCTAATTCAGTGAATTTAGCCTAGCATTTGGATAGGAGGCCAGCAGTAAATCACAAGACTTCCGACTAGATAGGGAGATTGGGGAAAAAAACCCAGAAAAGACAGTTGCAAATCACTTTAATATTGTCAAGAAAATAATATGATTGTGGTCCTTACAATAATCAAGCGTAAGTAGACTCAAAAGAGCCTTTATCTTTACCTTGTATAATTTAAAAAGTGTTATTCTACTGTTATTGCAAGCTATACAAAATAATCTTTAACACAACTTATGATTTTCTCCAAATAAGTAGTTTTTTGCATTTTCCACTTATTAATACTTAGATTTTCTACATTCATTGTCATAAACATAAAATTATTGTTTAATTAACCTTGTATAATATGATAAGCAAACACTGTTTGGGGGGAGGAAATTGTTGCACACAAAAGAACTGGTGCCACTTCGAAAGTTAATACCATTATCTTCAAGAATTAATAGGAATTAGCTTATTGAAAAATACTTGAAATTGAGAATGTTACACTTTATTTGGAGTGGTATTGTTCAATAATAATTGCTTAATGCCAAAAAATTCAAGTAAATGTACAGTCTCAAAGAATAACAGCTTTTTTTTCCAAATGTTTCTACTATTATAATTTGTAATTCTTTAAAATGCAGTTAGGACAGCTCTAAGTGTAGACTGTTTTACATAGATGCCTTTAGCCCAGCACCTGCTGGAAACCAAGGTCCTCCTCCACCTCCAATGATGAGTATGAATATGAACAACAGAGGGACAATGCCTGGCCCTGCAATGGGGCCAGGTCCTTCGTTGGGGCCAGAAGGAGCGACAAACATTGGAACCCCAATGATGCCAGATAATGGAACTGTGGTAATGTATCATAAACATTTACTTTTTTCCTACAACATAGCAAATCTATCTAAAACAAGGATAACTTCACACTGTAACCATGAGTGTTATTAAAAATAATTTAACTATTACATTAAATGTATATGGAGATTCTCAGTCATCCAGGTCGTAGTTGTCCCAAAGGTACTTTTTCAAGAGGCAACTGGATTTCAGAGCTGAAGAAGCTTCTTGGATGAGAAGTGAAATGTTTTCAAAGAAAAACACCAAAGTCCAGCTGCTTCTTGAAAAAAAGCACCTTTGGGGCAAAAATTAAATTAGTTGCTAAATATGGCATCAATATTGCTCCTGTTACTCATATTACATAACATGTTGTGTACTTCTTTTAATATAAATAAAAATAATGGACAAAAAAGTTTTATAAGTTCTTTGGGCTATTGCAAGTTACCATATTTAAAGGAGCATGAGTACATGCAGTTCAATGCAATTCCCCCTCCTCCCAAAAATGATTATGTCTCAAAGCTTCTATGGAAAAGACATTTAAGATTTAGTTTTTATTTTATACTGCAGACATGGATTACCAATAAGCATGTTTTATTGTTGGTGTATTGAAATGATCCATGGTGTGAAGCTATCTTTAAAATATTTTTAAAGCAAATTTAATTGATTAACAGATTTTTATCAGAGTGAGTTTATAACCACAAAGCTTTTTGTAAAACCTGACTATTTTTAATAGTTTCTCCAGAAAGCTAGATCTGATTCGGTTAAGGGAAAGTGAAGGATATTAACTAATATTTATACAGTATTTAATATATTTAACTTCTTGGTTGTATTATTATAGCATTTCTTGCTATAGCATTTCTTGGAGTTCCAAGAAGTGGAATTGGGGAAGTAAAATTCATTCAGTGTTTTCAACACTAAATCTATTGTAATAAAACAAGAATTTTAAAAAAAAAACTAGTTATAGCTGCAGGTTTCATATGTATGTATTGCATATGTAATATGGGAGTATGTATATGTGTATTATTTTCCATAAGAACATCATGCTGTTCTTTAAAAGAATAATCAATTGTTGTATGTCATTTGCTGAGGAAATTGCTTTTCATAAAGTGATCTGGCATACCTAGTTTCTAGGTTCAGCATGCTCTGTCCATATTACTGAACCACGTGATGAGTCCATTTCTCTACCTTTTAAGGGAGGAAAATAATGAACAGTATTATGATGCAACTAATAAAGAGAAAATAATGGTTAAGAAGGCGCACTAATCTTTGTCAGTAAAAGAACTGGAAACCATTTTTAAAATTACATGATTTACACCATTTTCAGAAGAGCTGAATTTGTTTTTCAAAATCACTTCAGCCTAGTATGTTTGGATTATTTCTTACATTATTACATATATAATTCAATATCTATAGAGTTCTTATATTATTGAAGGAAAAAGTAGACATAGCTAAATATTTAAATTTGCTTAATTATCATTAAAAATGTATCTGCTTCTTTTGTAATAAATTGGATAATAATAATACCCAACCTCACATCAGAGAACTTTTCTTGTATGGTTTCTTCTTCAGTATCCTCTCATCTACTCTGGTAATACTGCAATTGATCAGAGCAGATTTGCAGGGAGTGTAATGGGCTCTAGGAAGAGGATACAATCTTTTATACCAGTTAATCTACACAGCAGTTGACCCAGAAAATGAGATAATTACTGCTGGTTTTTATAAATAATTTTTAGCATTAACAATATAGCAGTATTCATATCAATGACTTAGTTTCTGCATTACATTCATTTCAAGAATCAGAATTTGTTCTCTGAAAATCTGCTGCTGCTGGCTTTGGACTTTTAGAAACAGTGTGCAATGCAGGAGAAATAAAAATTCCAGAAAATATAACTCCTTGTGTAAACCAAAGACATTTCCATTCATACTTTTAATCCAATTGGATCATAAAGTTGGAGTTGGCCAGGTAGGCTATTAAGTCATTTTAGGGATCTTAATTAAATGTTCTCTTAGTGAGGTATTTAACATTCATATTAATTTATATAACTTTAAACAATACATAACACTATAATGAATTAGCATTTTTCAAGATTATGAAATAATCTCATTTCTTTAGTTTCAAAAGAGAATATGATAATTTTTCTACAATTTTGAAGTAGAATGCCCTTAATCGATTCAGTTACAACTTACATTTTAAAGACGTTAAATATAAATTTGGCTTTAAATGTTGATGTGAATTACATGAAATCTATCTTTCTATCTGTCTATCACCTGTCTATATCTATGGTACACTTTTAGCAATTTTGAACCTAGATTCCTGTTACATTTAGCCTCTCTTAAAAAGTTTAGGTACCTTCTAAAATGTACTTTTAATTTCATTTCTTTATTTATTCCTACTTTTGATATAGTTTATACATATTTAACATACTTAATATTTATGTATACTTAGATTTTGTACAGAAGATTCAGAATATAAAATACCCATTCATTAGAATTAGACCTCTTAGAATGGTTACATTTTGCCTACTTATTCTTTTAACTAAATGAGCTGGTTGTCACAATATTGTTTGACTTACTTTTAAGCTTACATTCAACTTTTAAAGGTAATGACTAAATTAATTGCTCCTTTCTTCCTTCTATGTGTCATCCTGATTCTGCTGGACTATCTGCTGAACTTCCTGAAAACGTCATATTTCCCCTATTTGTTGTAATTCAAATTGGGGGTTTGTTCTAAATGGACTTAATGTAGCATTCTGAAAGATTTTCTCAAGGAGGCCCACCACAAATGGGTTCACCTATGGTTAATAGACCAGGCTCTGAAACTCCTCAACCAGCTATGGGTGGTGTAGGTGCCGTCAATAGTGGACCCAGTGGCTTTGGTAGAGGAAATCCTGGGGGCAGCTTTGAAGGACCTAACAAGCGTCGCAGATATTGAAACGTTCATTTTTGTACTCTTGTGAAATTGAATGAATGACTATCTGGTGTTATAATTCTATATAATTTCAACTGTTACTTTTGAATGGTTTTACTGTTAATATAGATATTAACCTTTTTTTGTAAACTATATAGACTTTTTTTGGTATTTAGTCATGGGCTTAAGATAGTATAGAAATAAAGCACTTCATTCGTTCAGTTGTTTGTGACTGCCACAAAATATAATGTGACCATGCTGTGAAATTTGTGAGTTACATGCTTACAATAAAATAACAGTGTAAATGATTTTGAAACACTACTATGAATACTATCTTTAAATTTAATTGTAAGTATCCATAATTATTTTTCTTTGATAATGCCTATCTTTTTTTGGGTGGGGGGAATCTGCTTTATCCATTGTAATTGTATGAAAATTAAAATACAGCTTGCAATACATAGAAAAAGTTGAGGTGAATGCAGCTTTAGAAAATATGAAATTATTAGTAAGCCAATATAGATTTGTGTTTTTTAATCAAATATGTTATTTTTCAACAACATGTATAAATCTCTTTGCAATGGGATTGTTATCGTAATGTAATCCTGTGTTCAAGTTTCAAATAAACATTTTGAGTCTTGAAAACCTACAAGTAGTGAATTCCCACCTATGATCTTAAGTAGATTATGAATGGAAATTTTGAAGGAAACAAATTTCACATCATTTAATAGATCATTACTGCTGTTTGCATTTTTGCTTCCTCTGTAGCGGATTTATAAATATATATTCAAAGTGTTCTTTTTTCCCCCCAAACACATTTTCTTTTTTAAAATATGTATTTTCTAGATTCCTGTCTTTCAATACTAAAGAAAATGCTTTGTTTAACAAATTCTGAAACCATTAGCAACTACTAGTGCTTAATAATTTTGGTAGGAAAATATTTCCAGTTCTGCACTTCATTTAAATACATAAATCTTTTCTAGTCTTCTTAGATGAAAAGTTCCCCTTTTAAACAGCCTATGCCAACTGGAAATAAAATATAAATAGGAAACTATTCCATAACTTTGGTTATATAAGGCATATTAAATGTATAAAAAAAACCCAAGATTTTAATATATACTAGTATAATTGAATTGGCATCCTTCATTCTCAAGAGACTATGGTATCGTGCTCTGAAAAGAGAAGCTGGAGTGTCCTCTCCAGAGCATGAGGCCTGGGTAATTTAATATGGAGGATAAACTGTTATCCAAGCAGCAGATCCCCCCTTTCCACGTCACTGAAATAGTCTAATGGAATTTCAGAGCCGATACGATTAGTTCCAGCTGCATCTCAGGAGTTACCAGAATGTGATTGTATACAATCACGAATTGCTTACAGGACTCCGACTCCGGATTTTGCCTCGAGGTTGACTCCTGAAGCCTTTTCCAATAATAGATATAGCCGCAAGGCAGTGGAGATTTGAAATCAGAGTTTCCCTTCTCCCTAGAAGATGGTTCTACTGTTTTATCTGCTGTTGGGGCATAAAGCCTCTTCTGCCTTCAAAACTGTTGACCATCTTCTGTAACCCTGGAAAGGGTCTCTTACAAGGTGCATTATTATATATAATTATAATTATACTATCATGAAAGCATTTCTTATTGGATATTTATTTTGACTGTTGTATAGGCAAATCAAGTATATTAGAGATACATGGGAAACAACTGTTATTGCATAAGCCTAGCATGGAGCCAAGATGATTCAGTAGTTAGAATGCAATATTATAGGCTTATTCACTGCTCACTGCCAAGAGTTTGATTTTGTCCGGCTCAGGGTTGACTCAGCCTTCCATCTTTCTGAGGTCAGTAAAATGAGGACCCAGATTGTTGGAGGCAATACGCATATTGCCAGTGCAAATTTGATAAGATTATTATTAAGAAACAAGATGGGAGCTTTCCCTGATCTCATATTTATATGAAGCTAAAAGATTTGCCTAGGATGTAAGAGAGTGTGTGGAGTAAATGATTACAAGTGTTATGATGTCATTACACAAATACTACAGCTTATCTACTTGCGTCAGATATTACAGTGCAAATGTGTAATTGCAGTATTTGTATCCTTGGTTTCATAAAGAAGATCC